TGACACCCTTAAGGGAGATAAATATCTGCAAACAACAGGCCGGATCCCGACCAGGTCGCGGGTGCATCGACCAAATCTTCACTCTGCATCAAGTCCTCGAAATGCGTCACACATCGTCGGCCAACAATCGCAGTATTCCTTGACCTAAAAAGAGCCTTCGACCGTGAAGCTCTTCTGGGGTCGTTGCTCCGCAAAGGAATGCCGCGGAAGTATATAAACCTATTGCGGTCGCTGTACCTGCATACTTCTGGTAGTGTAAGCGTCTACGGTGGGACAAGTAAATCGTTTGAAAACGGGAGCCGTGTTCATTAAAGGTGCCCTATTTCGCCATTCCTCTTCAATTTCGTCGTAAACGAAATACTGGAAAACGCACCAAGTGGTCTCTAAAACGTAGGTATTGAATGGGCATCTAGAGAAAAGCTGTGCGACTTGGAGTACGCTGACGACATCGTTTGCCTGTTCGAATGTAAGGAGGATGCGCAAAGCGCTCTTGACAGATTAGAAAGTTCTGTAACTCCTTTCGGCATGCGCCTTGCACCTTCAAAATGCAAAGTGATGCTGCAAAACTGGGTTTCGTCTACCTCATCACTGATGCCTGATGGTGGAATATTTCACCTACTTAGGTGGCTGCGTTACAAATGACGACAGCATAGTCAATGAAGTAACCGTGCATATCCAAGACTCGAACACTATACACAGGACAGAAACACCCTTGGAACAGACGCGACGTTTCGTTGAAACTGAAAGGTCTTGTTCACTGCGCCAATGTGGGGTCAATTCTGGTCTACGGTTGCGAGACCCTAAATTTGCGCGTGGAATATATTCGTCCTCTAGAAGCCTTCGACTGCCGATGTTTGGTGCGGGTTGGATGGAGCGAGCGTGTAAGGTAATGTGTCGCGTATTTTGTAATGATTCGACGGAGAATTCGTTGTCCCATCGAATTCAAATTAGTCAGCTTCGCTGGTTAGGGCACGTATTGCGTATGCCCAGTCATCGTCTACCGCACCACGCCTTATTCACAGTCGCGGCTCCATAATGGAAGAAACCACATAGAGGTCAACAGATGACGTGGGAACGAGGCTTGAAGAAATGCACAGGGCCATTAAGTAGAGAAGGTGTCTCGCGCATTCTAGGTTGGGGTCCGAAAGACTCCACAACTGGTTCGTTGGCGACAGTGAAGGATATAGCGGCGAACCGATGGTATTGACGTCGTTGATGTAATTTCCTTATAAAGTTGGAATGATTGACACTGTATGTATGCAGAATTTGATTGTTTACTCTGTATTGGCCATAGAGGTTTCTTTTTTGTCTCCATTTTGTGCTTTATCGCTTGATTTGTGTACATTGTGAGCTTGGCAGCGATCAGTGAAGTTTGCCTCATTGTATAGCGCTGTTCGATGATGATAATGATTGATAAAAGCCATCCTGTGTAGCTCGGTGGGTCAGAGATGTGCATTTGCCATCACACCACGTCAAGGTGTGGTCTTGTCGTGATGGTAAGAAACCTTGGGGAACACCGGCATTCACGGGGAGTGGCAGAGATTGTACCACGATCGAATAGAACGCAAAATGATTTGCTTGATGAGTAAACATTGTAGTCACGATCAGAGAGCCGCGAGGAATCCGAAAGTGTGTAATTTAGACAGTGAAAATTTAGTTTAAATGCGATCGAAGGCATTATAAATGTCAAGCGAACCCAATAGACTTCTCTGTTGCAACCGGAAGCAGTTGACAATGAATGTGATACGAAAGCCTGTAGGTTCCCGGGGAACTCATATTGATAGTCATTCAGTAAAACTTTGGGTTCGACGAACGCACGCAATTGGACGGCGATAATGGTCTCAAGAACTGTCGAAAGTACAAAAGTGGGACGACAGTCATTGGGATCGGAGGTGCTACCACATTTGAGGGCAACAAGAATTATGGCATTTTTNAAACGTTGTGCCCAAGGAAGGCGCAGAAAAGACGGAGCAGAATGGGGTATCCTTTAAGAACGGAGGGTGGGATACCGTTCGGATCGGAGGGTTTACAAAGATCCAAACCACGAACAGTTTGAAAGACCTCCTTGGTTGCTATGCGAGGTAAAAAAAAAGTGGAATGAGGGTCGACGTCAGTATACAAAGTGGAATTGGAGGCGAACCGAGAAGCGAAGATCTCTGTTGTATCGTGGGGTTAAATGAGC